TCAAAAGAAACGGAAGTTGAACGAACGGAACGTTGACTTAGCTTACGTACATACGAGGGAGGAACACTATCCTCCGTTATCTTGCTTAATTTCTTCCCTTTTTATAAAACGTCGGATAGTTAATATTACAATCATTATGATACAAGTCATAGTATTTGATCATCGTATAAACATTATTATCATCACAGTAAAAATATTTTCATTAATCTGTTTCCATTTGTCTCCATTTAACTATCGTGCTTCGCCGCGGATAAACGCTTGGGCGCGAACGACGCACAGATATATATAATATATATATATATATATATATATATTCGCTCCCCTAGAAGTAGAGCGCACTGTTCCATTTATATTCTTCATTTCTTTCACTAGAGTCAATTTATTCATTTTACTCGCTAGACTACGCTGTGTACTTATCCTTTATAATTATTTAAGTAGTCCGTCGCGGTTCACCTTGTACGTAACCAAAATAATGTCGGTTAGCAAATAGTAAAAATACAGAAATGTACCTATGTACCATTCTTCCATGTTTCTCTCCCCGCTTCCCTTCTCGTCACCATTTCGTTTTCGTCGCGCTGAAATCAATATAGCGTGTCGTGGATCAAACGTGTCTGAAGGTTTTTAAACGATAGGTCATTAAATAATAATCATTGGTCTGACGACGCGGTCGTGATTAACATTTATCCTCCCACAAGCAACGAATTCCATTCTCAATCCGAGAGAAAACTCCTTATGTCCGTAATAGTTTCGCACAACAGTTGCCGTAGTAATATAATAAATCCATTTCACTAAAACCTCATCCCCTTTGGTAGAATTGAGGAAACAGAAAAAGGTCAACGTTACAAACGGATTTCCCTGGACGCCGAAGGGGCCCGCGTCAGAACAATTGCAATCGAATGAGAATCCTTGTTGTGTCTTATATACCGAAAAGACGTGCGTCGCGTTTCACGATATAACAGCGTGTGAACGCAAAGTATCGCGCGGAAAGAATACTTTGCTCCCCAAATATTGCGTCCGTTTTCCTGCATCGCCGCTCCATGGAATTTCTTCGAGGAATTAAGTACTTACGTCAGTACCTAAGCTCTACCTACATAGGAGATTTGAGGTACGATGTACCCAGCATGGGAGTGAACGTACATCGTTGGCTCGCTAGGAGAGCTAGCATCTGGCTCGACTCTAGCTCCAGTGAAATTTTCAGAGACGCTTCTCGACTTCAAACAATTTCATTCGGCGTAATGCAACACGTATCTTCGACGACAGGATAACAACAAATAATCGTACAATCATCCTTCATTCAAAGGAAAGAACATTAAAAGTTCCAACGTAGCCAACCAGATTCCTTGTTCCTCAAACATCGAGATTCATCCCCAAAAATTCCACGATAGTCTACGTCAGACGTGTCCCCCGGCCATCACGGGAATTCATTACCCATGTCCGCCATTTTCCTTACATCGTAGCTGCCTCTGTACACATTCTCTCTTTCACGCATCATCTCTCTCTCTCTCTCTCTCTCCCTTCCTATCTACGCTGATAATGTTACGTATGTACAAAAAAATTGTCGTAATATTCACAAAGATGCGCACTCGAAGTCTTCCTCGATGAGCACAGAAGGAACACGATCACGTTCAGTCGGCCCTGAAACGGTGTCACCGCTGTTCGTCACACCGAGGTCTGCGTGATACCGTTCCCCGACAACCATAGGCGGCCATTGCTCTTCTGCTCGGCGATCTCGTACTCGGAGTCGTCGATCTCGCAGAGATTGGTGGACAGGTCGCTGTTGCTGGTCGCGCCGCCCAGCAACGAGTTCCTCTCTTCCAAGGTGGTGATCACCGAGCCGATCTCGTCGGCTTCGTCCCCCTTGTGGCATCGGTTCCGTCGCGTGCTCGGGAAACCATAAGGCACTACGTCGTCCTCCTCCTCGTCAGATTCTAGGGTGCTGAGACGTCCGTTCAACGGGTTCGTCTCGTTCTCCGTGTCCGTGTGGATGTTGTAATGGGGCAAGTACGAGTTCGGGTGACGGAGATAGCTCTCGGAACCCTTGTACTTGTATTCACCCTCGCCGCCGCTGTCCAGCGGATTCAGTCGCTGCGTCTCCGTGCAGTGATACTGCTCCGAGAACTCGGTCCCGCATTCCGAGTCGCCGACGTACTCCGACTCCTGGTCTTCGTTCAGCGTCTCGATGTCCCTCCCGGGATCTACAGAGCCGTGCACTGGAAATCAACGGATCGATCAGGTTCCGGTTGCCTTCGACGATCGAATTAACACGCTCGTCAACGTGACAGATACTTGATGGAATCCTCGAAACGGTATTCTGAATTCATTGGTAGAATGATCGAAGATTGCGAGGATTACACCGTATCGATCCGGATGACGAACATGCGATTAAACGGTACTTAGGACTGGGATTAAGAGGGCTCCCGCGGTTCGATTACGATCTGATTTAGCATTCGCCGGTGTGGTTCACCGGAAAGCAGAAGTAGATTGCGTTTTAGGGTAAGCTGCAGTGATAGTAAGGCGTGTCGTTTGTCTACTTATGTACAGAATTCATTGCAGCGTAAGTGTGGGACCGATAGTTATGAAAAGAGAAGCTGGATAGTCGTTGCTTTCTGGTTTCCAGATAGAACTCGGTAGATCCTACGAAGATATATTTCGTGGTTTCGTTAGTCGTTTCATTCAGGCGTCGGTACGTTAAGAGGCGAGTGGTACAGATGAAATGGTGATTATAAGAGTCTGAAGTTAGTTATGCAAGTGCAGGTAGAAGCGGTGAAACGTGCACGCTACGCCGCTACTCACCTGACGGTAGCTGATGAGTGTTTGATTCGTTACTCTCATTGCTGTGGAAGCTGGACGAATCTGGAACTTCGCTTCCGGGTACCTCCGTGATGTTAGGTAGGGGGTTTTGACTTGGCCTGACCCAGTCTGAACAGTCCCAGTGATACCCTAAAAGCATTGCAGACAACAACTGTACTCCGACACGCTACATGCGACGATCTAGCGCCGCGATACGGAGCGGAAGAGAGAAGCCTTGTGTGTATCCTGTCTGTTTCTTAGCTCTGTGCGTGTATCATTTGTACGTGTACGTGT